AAAGATTGGTATAATAAAAACCTGAATAACTGAACCTAAACTCTTCCGATTTAGACTTGTGAGGTATCATCGGAAAGGTATTTTCTCGCCCTTTTTATTTCTTTGCTAATAAACTCATTCAAAGGACGAAAGAGAAAGGTAGGATAAACGAACATCATTCAAAGTTGAATTAAGATGTGTTGGTATTTGAAAAAAAAAATGGGAAACGAATGACATTTTTCCACATAAATAAAAATAGTGGGATAATACCTTTCTACCGAGATCCCATAAGTCTAGATCAAAATAGTTTTGGCCCGCTTATTTAAGTTTTTCGTAAATCAATCTTTGAAAAAAGTAAAAAAAAAACCGCATCTAAAATCTCATTATTACGATTCCGTTGAAAAGATTTTTAAATATTTGTATGCAGATTTTATAAGCCTAATCTGTTTTGTTATCTGAAGGGACTTTTTTTCAAAAAGTTCTTTAAGAAACTATTTTTATTCATAAAAACCTCATTTTTGGAGGTATTTTCAAATCGGTCCAGCTCGCTTAAATCTTAATATTTTTCCGAAATATTTTGGTGGACGTCTTAAAATATAATAAATTTTGTAATCCCGGCGGAAAAAACCGCAACTTTTTTGGTGATGCAGTCTAATATATATGTATGTGATATGAGAGAAATATATGTATAATAGTAAGGCGAAAGTGTAAAGGAATATTTAAAATGCTTGAATGAAAAGTAAAGTAAAATATAGTAAATAAGTTGCAAAGACAGTAATTTGCTGAGTGTGCATGTTGGACTATGTTAAATTCGCGGAAACAAGAAGATACGGCAATCATGGTTGCCACAATTGATAACTTTCTACCAAAATTGGTAACTTTTAAATGGTTTGGTAACTTTTATTTCATTTCGGTAACTTTTGCAACTAAACATCTATTTGCATTACTAGAAAGAAATGAATTATGTTTTCATTTTCATGAATTATGTTTCCCTTCGAGTTTCAGTGGCAGCACTACTGACACTTTTACAAAATTACTTTGATTAAATTAGAGTCATCTCATATTCAAATACTGGAAATATTTGAATTACAGTGGCAGCACCAAGGGCTGCACTTTTAAAACAACTTTCGAATTTTCGCGATAAATTTTGAATTCTATCTACCCTCTCACATTTTAATACTGATCATCTGGCAATTTTTGGTAAGGTCCAAAAATCGTTTTGATTATTCCGGCAAAAAAAAATGTCGCGTGCTTTTTAACGGACCCATCTACCGACATGTATTTCGACACCTACCGACATATATTTCGACGTACAGTAAATTATAAAAAAAACCGAAAAAATAACAAAAAAATTTGCAATTTTCTCAATTTACTCGAAATCTTGTACGAGTCAAAGAACCGTTAAAAGCACCTTTTTTGTGTGCCGGCGCTATTATTCCGTGAGCCGCAGGTCCAAGTATCAGCACATTCCGAACGAAAAATTACACTGAAAATGGCACAACGCTGAAACCGGTTTGTCTCCAAACCAAATTTGACAAGGCATGATGGAAAATCGTTCCACATTACATCATACTCCTACCCTGTCGGAAACAACAACAACGAAAATGAGAATAACGGAACATGCAGTAATTAATTGATAGAAAAATATTTTCTAATAAAAAAATTATTATAATTGTCAATAGCATTTTCAATCTTTATAATTTATCAAGAAAATAGATTTAAACTTCTGTGCTAGAACTGGGAGTTCTTGATAAATAATCAAAAATTTACAAATTATAAAAATACTGAATTTATTAAATGCACAGAACCGGGCTGTAAGAATATACATATTTGTTATGAAATATAGCAGTGTTATTCAGTATATTTTTTTCTCAGAGAAGATTTTGGTAGTGAAAATTTGGTAACTTTTCTTAAGAGATTTTGGTAGAAAAAATGTTGGCGAGTGGCAACCATGACTGCAATGTTATTGCTAATGCTGGAAATTTCCATTGCGTGGTGGTGGTTGTTTTTGGCGTTATTGTGTTTGTGGGGCCTGTGTGCTTATGTGCTGTGGGGATTTTGTTGCGTAGTTAACCTTTTGCGCATCAGAATATTGTCTTTGCGCCGCTCCATGTATGCTTTACAAAGAGAAGTAGACAATGATGTTTGGAGCGCTTATTTGTATTTGTATGAAGTGCTATGTGCTAGAAGATGGTTTTCAAAAGAGTTGTAAAGGAATAAGAGAGCATGATTTTGTTTGCTTGTGGTGCAATGTCCTAGAAAATTTTCGCACATAAAATGTTGTCAAATAACATATCCCTGTTACTGCGCTTCTGCTGTAACTACAGCTACGTAACGGAACTTTTTAGTTTCTATAGTGACCGTTGATAAATCCTTAGCTTATTGTGTGATATTTTGTGATGAAAAACATAGTAAATGCCTATCAGTTAAGGAAGCGGACAGTTTGGCCCGCCGTACTGGAAGCGGACGACCACGGAAGAAGATAGGGATATTGTAGCTGTGGGGGATCGGCTTAAAACTGCTCCAGAAATTGCCGCGGAATTAAAGGATAGCATCAACATGGAAATTAGTATCTCAACGGTACAGCGTCGGTTGAGGGAAAATGACTTGATGGCCCATATACCGGCTAAAAAGTCGCTTCTCTCCACAAAAATGCATTCTGCCCGACTATCCTGGTGTCGTGAAAAAAGAAATTGGTCACGAAACGACTGGGAACGAGTCATATTTTCTGATTAGTGCAAAATAAATCTATTCAGATTCGGGATGCATGGTTCGTCGCAAAAATACAGATTTAGTCGCAACTCCGTTCAGACTACAGTGAAGCAGTATGTAATTGTGTGGGGGGCAATAACAAGCCATGGAGTTGGTAAAATTTTGTTACTTGAGGGTTACGTTAACTCCCCACCTACATTGGCATCATTAAAGACGGCCTTATACCAAGTATTGAAGGGCTAAGCGAGCACGTAACAAACATAATTTTTCAGGATGATTCCGCACCTTGTCACCGCTCCAAAGCGGTATGCGTACTGCCGTAATTAGGCATATTAACATTTTTATTTTAACAAATTGGCAATAACACAACATTTACCTCTTTATAGGTGAATTAATACAAGTCTCTTTTGGGGATTGAGTCCATGTCATGACCGGGAATAGCCCCGCCCTCAAACCCATTGAGAACATGTGGTCAATTTTAAAAAGAAAGGTACGCTAGCAAAAGCCAAGTAATCTCAAAAAGTTGAAAGAAATCATTGAGATTTCTTGGTAGAATGCTATTTCGCCAGACTCGATTCGCAAACTGTACGAAAGTATGCCTGCCCGAGTGCAATGCGTGATCCATGCGAGAGGGAGTTATACCCGGTATTAATACCACTTTTTTTAATGTTCTTACGAAATGAATAATAATGTCGATATCATAATAAAAAGGCAAATACTGATAGTTTTTTAATGCGGTTTAGTTTTATTTTTCATCCAAACAACTAAATATGCATTAAGGAAACGAATGCTATTTTGGGTTTGGTTTAAATATGCCTATATATTCCTTTTTGTTGTGGCATGATCAGCCTTAAAATAATTAAGAATTGTGCTTAGAGAATTAATATAACCAACTGATATGAGTTACAAGAAAGAAAGTCATTTTTAGTCAAAAATATGACTTCTATCTGTGATATTAAAATCGGCGTTTTTTTACCGTAAGTGTATATATGTCGACATACATATGTGCTAGAATATATTGGTGCGTGTGCAAGTATATGGATCGTAGATCAAAAGGCGAAAAGAAAATCACAGAGTGCTAGGAGGCCTGCAGGTGGTGCTAAAATATTTTCACCAATTGCATGTTTGAGCAGGTGCTAGTTATGTGTGGGCATGGTTTTGGTGAACTTGAATATTTTCAAACATATATGCTAGTTGGAAGCATAAGCCTTATAGGGAAGACAGACAACAAGGATTATCTGCATAAAGAGGCGTTAGTTGCATTAAATCGTGCATTTGCCTCTTCTAAATGCAGATTTAATGCATGAAAATTTCGTGAATTTTAACTGCATTTTCGAATTTCAGTATGGCAATGCTGCCGAATTTGACAGCTGTTTACTATTGTGAATGGCAGAAGTTGAGTTTGCTACTGTCAAAAGAAAATTGATACATACACAATAAGTATTTTTATTTATTTAACGTAAAATTTAAACAAATACCAAATTCAAAACGTGTATTTCTCAATTTCAGATGTTAGCAACAAAAAAGCGTGTTGTATGGAGCGAGCAGGATGACCAAATCC